ACACCAAGAGTTGACCCTCTCATGGCTTCATCTACTTCACGGCTACCTAAGCGGTCAGCCCTAGAAGTTGCAACCGTGTCTATTGGAGAGAGTATCATCACCAGCTCCGTAGAGCCAGCTTCGAAGAGAATAAGACACGAGCCGACCTCATCGCCGACGTCAAAGGCTGCTCATTTACCATTGAGCTCAGCCACGGCAAAATCCTCCTTTGGCTCAAGGCTGACCCAGATGTTCTCTGCGAGTAATGCAGCGAGGCAGAAAGGTGTCAGCAGGGCGAGCACAGATCTGCCACAAAACCCCAGCGAAGATGCTGGCGCAGAGACAGATGATGGTAGAGAAAGCGATGACAGCTCAGAGGAGAGGGCACCTGCGGATGAGACCATGGTCAGCCAGGATGATGAATTTGAGTCTGCTTTCGATAGGGCCGAAGCGTTGTCAAGTCCAACACATAGACCCCATGCGAACGTATCGAGCCGTGTCAAGACCCCGGTGCCGGCCACAACGAATGACGACATTCTAAAGGATGAAGCAGCGGCGCAGACTATGCTCGCAGATGCTCGGTCGAATGCCCTCAAAGGGGGGGGCAGGCGAAAGGACGCAACTCTACAGCAGAGGCAAAATGTCAAGATTGACACAAACGATTTACAGTCTCGCATCGAATCTTGGCAGGCAGAGCTACGGCGCACCACCCAAAACCTAAGCCGACAGTCCAAGACCTCCGGTATGGAGGATCTCGAGGCCCAGGATGCCGAAGCAGCCCTGTCCTTGATCATATCAAAGTCGGACTTCGCAAAGATGACCATTGTCGGCCAGTTCAATCTCGGCTTCATCATCGCAGTTCGACACGCGGCTCGGGACCAAAACGGTGACGCAGTCGGGGACGACGAGCTCTTCATCATCGACCAACATGCGTCGGACGAAAAGTACAACTTTGAGAGACTGCAGTCCACAACGGTGGTCCAGTCTCAGAGATTGGTGCACCCGAAGCAGCTGGAACTCACAGCGCTGGAGGAAGAGATCGTCATGGAAAACGTCGCGGCCCTGGACGTCAACGGCTTCAAGGTCAGCGTGGACAGCTCGGGTGACCAACCCGTGGGAGCGAGGTGCAAGCTCCTCGCGCTACCCCTCAGCCGCGAGACGACATTCACATTGTCCGACCTCGAGGAGCTCATTTCTCTGCTCAGCGACCACCACCTCACCGAAGTCAGCAGTGCCCCTCGGCCGTCCAAGGTGCGGTCCATGTTCGCAATGAGGGCATGCCGCAGCAGCGTCATGATTGGCAAGGCTCTGGCACAACGACAGATGGAGAAGCTGGTCCGTCACATGGGCGAGTTGGATAAACCATGGAACTGTCCACATGGACGGCCGACGATGAGGCATCTCACCGGACTGGGTTCCTGGGACGACATGGGATGGAAGGAAACCGAGCCTCGGGTCGACTGGGCCAAGTACGCCCGAGCATGACGTTGGGTTTCATGTCGTGGTACGCAAAAGTCAAAGGTCGATCTTGATAACATACTGGTTCACTCTCCTATGTTATCATTCACGTTGTTCGTTATTTCTCAAGACATATCCGCGAAAGGGGGCAATTGATTAGTTTACATGCCAAAAATGACTTTTGTTATTTGTATTGGTATCACAGCGTAGTTGCTTGCTCTCGTTACTTTACTTTACATTTAATGAAGCTGTCCATACACTTCCTAGTCTTGTTCCACCGGACGTCGTGAAAATCAACCCGTGTTCTCGTATCAAACTCCCAAAACAAGTACTCATTCGCTGCTTACGAAAACCTCCTCATCACCGCGCCACGCCATATTGAACGCCCTTCGACCCTGCGAGACCTTCTTCAGCGACCTTGCCACTCACGTTACGCCTTCCATAAGCTGACGAGTACTTGTTGTCTTTGAAGTCGTTGCCGGATGAGACTTGACGGTTACCGCCGATCATGACCGGAGGAGTCGCCGACTTCAGCTCACCGTACGGCTTGGAGTAGAAATCAGCCTCTGGTTGAATGGAGCTGTCGCGGTTGCGCGGCCAGGGTTGAGGGACGAGCGATGAAGGTCTCTCATCGGCAATGTCGTTGGTACCGCTGACCCTACGAGAGTTGAGGTCTACGTCCGACAGTGCCGTATCCCTGAGCGAGTAGTACGGAGCCTTGGTCTTGGGCGGCGTCGGATGGGACTTCAATGGGTTCGGGTGCGGGCTCTTGCCGATATCATTCTCAAAGTCACTGCCAGCAAGGTCGTTCTCGTCGTGCTCTGAATCGGAATCTGCGACGTTGTATCTTTGAGACAGAGCTTCGTAAGTGCTGTTCCTCGTTCCCTGCCGCTGCGTGTTCGCAGCTGTCGTGGCTTGGTCCATGGCGCGATTTCGCTTCTGAGTGCGAGAAATCATGGAGTCTGTCGCAAACCATGTCTCGGTGAATTTGCCTCCAGGGGCTGGGACTGCAGAGGAGAGAGAAGTTCGGGATCCTGCAATGTTGGTCTCGTGGAGCGGCACCTCGGTGTAAGACCCGCGGTCTGAGGACCGAGGCCCGGACGTACGAGCGTACTCGCTGACGCCTGCTGTCTGGTTTTGTAGATTTCCTGGAGGAACCTGATACTGCCGACTGGGAAGATCAACAAAGGAATTGCGGTTGAAACTGGAAACGTCGGAGCCGGCGCGGGTTCGTTGAAAGGGGATGCTTGGTGGTCGAGATACATCCTCATACGGAGCACCTGATCGACGACGGTCCTCGAGAGGTGTGGATAGTCTCTTGTCGCTGTCGCCACTCATGGAGGTCGCAATACTGGACTTATTTCTCTTGTGTTTGGCTCGGGAGGTGAGGTTGTCTTCTAGAGGGTTCATGTCGGGGGGCAGTTCGGTAATCTTGCGGAACATGACACCAAGCCATATTGAGATGCCGAGAGAGATCAAGTGCAAGCCCCCAGCACCGATGAAGGTATAGAAGACGGCTGGAAGGAAATAGTCCAGTAGGCTTTGGTCGGAAAGACGCGTCTTCCAGGTGCCGCCGCTGTTGTTGACGGTAAGAGCACCGTAGGCGTAAAGAGGCATAACGCCAAGATCAGAGATGCTGGCGAAAAGTTGGTAGGCTGTAGACGAGGCAGGGCTACGGCCTCCAGCAGGCCGCTGGAGATGGTAGATGCCGTAGAGGCAGTGCACCATGGCGACACCCGGCTGGAAGAAGGTCAGTCAGATTTCGTGTACTCCAAACCTTGGAGCAGGCAGTCTGGGCAGTGGACAAACCGTAATACGCATGACCCAGCCAGCCAAAGTCTCGATATTGTCTAGCAGGATGAGTAGAGCAAGTAATCCAGCAGCCCCGATTAATTCTAGGACCCTCAAGCACAACTGGACGATGCGCATCGCCTTGATCCAACTCTTCGTTCTAGGACCGAGGGCAACATAGTTGTTGGATCGATGGTTGAGGACTAGATGAGCACTACAACAGAAACGGCAATCAGTATTAACTTTCTCACTCCTCATGATAAAGACAGTCCTCGCTGTCAATCCTAGACCAAGCGAACTTACTCGGGATGACGGTTGAAGGTTACCAAAGGGCCATCCGGCTTCGGTTTGCGCGGCTGCGGCTCCCAGCTTGCGCGGGTCACTGCCTTTGGGTCGAACTTTGGCTCAGGGAAACGGGAATTGTTGCTGACGACATTGTAGAGGTATGGTTGGTGAGCCATGGTCGCGACACGGCGTTGGTCTTGTCCTTGCGTGTCCTCCGAGAAAAGAAGGAGAGGAATGCGCGGGACAAGAGTTTAACAGAGGTCAGACGGCTGGAATGCCGCCAACTTGAAGGGTATCCGGTGGTTGGATTGGTGTGGCTAAGGTCTCGCTTTCCTCTCACTTACCACGGACATGTGAATGAATGAAAGAGGTGGGGGGTGGGGGAATGGGTGGTGAGGTGGAAGGCGAGGCAGGATGGTTAAGAGCAAGACAGGGACCAGAATCAGAAAGGCCAAACTCAGGGTGAGATGCGCAAAGGTACAGGCAAATCCTGTGTTTGCCCGGCCTCGCCAAGATTGAAGCCGCATCGCTCAAAGGCCCAGTTGTTTTCCAGCCTTCCCGGATCGGTTGATTGACATTGGGTACATCTTGAGTCTAGTGTTGCAGCTGGCGCGCGGCGGTTGCTATGGCAACTCCTCGTTCCTGCAGTACTAAGGTAGCATGCCTTGGGAGCTGCACCATAGCAAGCCCAATTACCCTTGTCACCTCATGTTCAGGGAATGTTCGTTTGAAGCCTGTCGCGCCAGAAAGCTGTCATCCAAAGTTGTCTACCTTGTCTGTTTGCACCTCTTCCTGGCTCGACGATCATTGACCTCTCACCTCCAGATGTCTGGATCATGGATCATGGGTAGCATAATTAGTACACTAGATGCTATCCACTTGGTCCCGAACCCCCCCCCCCCCCCCCCAACTTTTGAGAGGGTCGAAATGACGTATAAAGCTTGGACCAGGCCTCGATTACAAGCAACAGGGCACTTTTACCGGCAGCTGTAGTTCAAGAGAAGCTGCAAGAAGGTAGTACAGCTTCATGGTTCACGACATCGATACTTCAATTGCAGGCCTGCTTTTCTTCACCCGCGGCATCTTCACCCGCGGCAAAAGCATGCACCTACTCTTCTTTCGAATCTCCAGGCACAGCCCAGTGTCGGCAACCAAGTCAAGGTAGTAAGTGGCTTTATAAGCCACAGGCCGAGGACGCCGAGTCCATGCTTCACATCGGTACCGCAACTAGGCCCGGCTCCGGATTGTGGATTCTCGATTTAAATCCGAAAGCTTCCACCCCGACGCCTTCTTTGACTTGACTCACTCGGTGCTCTATACTCGGGCTGCATCAACCAGCTTTGGTGGTAGCTTCCCATTTCACTGACCAGGCTACCTCGAGTTATTATTGTCTGAACACGCGGTGTCCAGTATCACCTCGGACAAGTCAAGTTCCTTAACCATCAGAACAGACCAAAGTCTACTCCGCGCTACCCTCCACCAGTCCCATGATTCTATCCCGATGCCGGGCCAGGCTGCGCCCAGCTTGCCGCCGTTTTCGGATGGAAGTGGGCACCGGCGTTTCCGGGTCGCGCCCGTCAAGTGCCGCCGCGAGACAAGTCCGCCAACCAAACGCCCCGTTCCGACTGGCCGTCGTTGGCTCCGGTCCAGCAGGCTTCTACTCTGCCTACCGAGTGATGTCCCAACTCCCAGAGACTACGGTGGACATGTATGAGTCGCTGCCGGTACCGTTTGGCCTCGTCCGCTTCGGCGTTGCCCCAGATCATCCCGAAGTCAAGGTTCGATATCTCCCGTCTCGTTGACTGCTTCACCGGTGCACGCTGCTTACACAACCCCAAGAACTGTCAGGACAAATTCACAGAAGTTGCGGCCTCGCCTAAATTTAACTTCATGGGTAACGTGACCATAGGCGACGTAGGCCGTCATCCCGACAGCTGCAATGTGCCCTTTCCCACCTTGTTGCGAAATTATGATGCAGTGTTACTCGCATATGGAGCCGCAAAGGATAGAACCCTCGGCATCCCTGGAGAATCCAATCTCCAAGGCGTCTACTCGGCTCGCCAGTTTGTGGGCTGGTACAATGGGCTCCCCGAATATGCCGATTTGTCACCCGATCTCACGAAAGGAGATGAGGCTGTCGTAATTGGTCAGGGCAACGTAGCCCTGGACGTTGCTAGAATGCTCCTGGAGGATATCGATGCCTTGCGGCGGACAGATATCACAGAAGAGGCCCTTGCCCAGCTTGCAACCTCTCGCGTCAAGAGGGTTCATGTCGTTGGAAGACGAGGTCCAATGCAGGTGAGTAAACCGCTCAACTTCTTGTGTCCAAATAGAGCAGACGAGTTGATCCTCCCATCTAGGCCGCGTTCACAATTAAGGAAGTCAGGGAGTTGATGAAGATTCAAAGTGTTGGCTTTCATCCGGTGGACAGCACGCTCATACCCCCAGACATCAAGTCACTTCCAAGAGCAGCAAAGCGCTTGATGGAAGTGGTCGCCAAGGGCTCCGTGTCTCGTCCACACGATGTCGAGAAATCATGGTCACTTGACTTCTGCTTGAATCCTGTTGAATTTTTGGCCAACCAAAATTCTCCTACCGATGTTGGGAGCACTGTGTTCGAGAGGACGGAACTGTCTCACAAATTTGATCCCGGTGCTCAAGCTCGGCTTACCGGAGAAACTATCACGGTGCCTTCGAACTTGGTCTTCCGTTCCATTGGTTATAAGTCCATTCCCTTGCCCGGTTTGAAAGAGGCTGGTGTAGCCTTCGATGACCGCCGAGGTGTCGTTATGAACGATGGACGCGGCAGAGTTGTTGCTGTAGATCAGGAAGAAGCTTCTGAAGCAACGCAGTCAGGGGTAACCCCCGGTGTCTATTGTGCCGGTTGGGTTAAACGAGGACCGACTGGCGTCATTGCCTCGACTATGCAGGACGCCTTTGAAACGGGCGATTCTATCATTCAAGATTGGCTGTCTGGTTTGCAATTCCTGTCTACGGGCAAGGAGAAGCCCGCGGCAGGATGGGATGGAGTCCGCTCAGAAATCGGTGACTCAGCTCATAAGAGAACAAGCTGGGAAGACTGGCAAAAAATTGATGGCGTAGAGAAAGGAAAAGGTCAGGCTGCGGGCAAGGAGCGGGAGAAATTCACGTCCACCAAGGCCATGCTTGAGGTCCTATCATAGAATACGGCACTGTAGTCAAATGTAGAAATACCCCTCTTTGTAAACTATAGAAACATTGCCATTTATTGCTTGATCTTTTCGGTCAGTTCTGGCACCTTGTCGAACAAATCTCCCACGAGCCCAACGTCCGCGATTTGGAAAATAGGGGCATCAGCATCCTTATTTATGGCGGCAATGACCTTGCTGTCCTTCATACCAGCCAAGTGCTGGATGGCACCTGAAATGCCAACAGCCAGGTACAACTGAGGTGCAACGACCTTGCCAGTCTGTCCAACTTGCAAGCTGTTATCAGCGTACCCGCTATCAACAGCGGCTCTGGAGGCGCCAACAGCAGCACCCAGAGAATCGGCCAGGGGCAGCATGACCTTGTCGAACTCCTCCTTAGACTTGAGGCCTCTGCCGCCAGAGACAACCCTCCCAGCGGTAGCAAGGTCCGGCCTGTCTGACTTGGCAAGATCTTCTGACACCCACTCAGTAGCAGAGTCAGACTTGGGATCAACGCCATCCTCCACCGTAGCTGAGCCGCTAGCAACTTCGGCCGCGGGGAAGGCCGTGCCTCGGATGGTTATAACCTTGATCTCGTCGGATGACTCTACTGTCGCGATGGCATTGCCGGCGTAGATTGGGCGGACGAAGGTGTTCTCACCCTCGATCGAAGTAATGTCGGAGATTTGCTGCGAGTCCAGCATGGCGGCAACGCGGGGCATCAAGTTCTTTCCAAAGGCAGTGTGTCCAGCGATGATGTGGGTGTAGCCGCCCTTCTTGATGTTCTCGACCAACAGCGGTGCGAAGTTCTCGGGGAGACCCTGCAAGTACGGAAATGTCAGCTCCGGAACCTTACAATTTGTCGATATTCTACAATAATGGCCTACCTTGTCATACGCGGCATTGTCGACTGCAATGACCTTCTCAACACCTTCAACCTTTGCCGCCTCATCGGCAACACCCTTGATGTTGCTTCCCGCTACAAAGCCGTGGATGGATCCTCCCAGCTTCTTTGCTGCTGTGATGGCGCTCAGTGAGCCATGGTTCAATTGACCTTCTCTCTGCTCCAGAATGGCGAGGGTCGACAGCAGACTTCTTCTCGATACAGATCGGAACCCCGAGAGTCCCCTGGACGCTGCGACAGCCCCGCTGCCAGCGGCTCTTCGAGCAAGGAATAGCATTTTGTGCGGCTACGACGAATGCGAAAAGTACCGACTTTACTGGGCTCGTCTAGAGGAACAATTGGCGAAGCTCACCGTGAGCGAGGGCTTGGGTGTTGATGTGTAGGATCTCAAGTTGAAGAGGAACGGTTGGACACGGCCCGAGGTTACTAGGCCGAGTTCGCATGAAGCCTTTCTCAGCTGTCAAAGTGCCGTCATCAGAGGTAGAGACGCTCTGGCTTGGGCCGGGGGTGAGATTAGCCGCAGCAACCCAGTCGGCTTTATGCTCCGAGCTCTCGGCCTCACCAAGCTTCTCAGGACTCAGGACATTGAACAAGGGACGTGCACCAGAAGATTAGTCATGGTGAGCGATACTAGTCCGACACGTGACACTCTTTGACCACGTGATCAGCTGGACCTGGCGTCGCGCTTCAGCTTCCAACGGGGGAGGGATTGCGCAGGGAAAAGGTACACTTGGAGAAGCCCAAGGACAGAGCAGTTCCCCTGGTATCTTCGCGCCAAAATTTCTCCAGATCCAGACGCGACTCCATAACGACCACACCTCTTCATCTCCCATCAAGAACCACGCGCTTTTGGAGGGGCACACCCACAGGCTGCATCATCAATCAATCAATTCCACCAGTCGCATGTCATAGGGCATCCTATCCGTGCAATTTGTGTTCCATTTTGCGCGTTGCGCCCTTGAGCTTCCGCGCGCCTCGACAAGAGTTTGGGTGCCTGCCTCCTCCTAAGATCCATTCAATCAGAAGTCATCATGGAGGACCAACCCAACTACGGAATTTCCAACGCCGCCTCTCCTGGCAGCAATCCTATCCTTTCGCAACCACCTTTGCAACCTGCCGCGCCTACTCCGGGAGATGGAGCCGAAGGTGCGTGTCATTGGCGACCCCGTTAGCATTGCTTTCATCGGTACAATTGACGGCATCTAACAAGACTATGTTTCTAGATGTCCAGATGACCGAAGGCCCGGTCGCTGAGCCTAGCATCAAGCAGGACAGCGCGACACCCGCACCAGGCGTCACATCCGATAATCCCCTCGACGCCCCCGATGGCCCCGCGCCCGAGGCTACGCAGGACGAGGAAATGGGCGGTGCCCGCGACGAAACAAAGGATGGCCAAGCAGCAAAGGGCGGCGATGATGCTGCAGCTGGAAACGATGCGGAGGGGCAAGACTCCAAGACCAAGGAGACACTCGAAAACGCGGCTCGAGAACATCTTATCTCGCAAACGCACGCTATCGTTCTGCCGAGCTACAGTACCTGGTTCGACATGAACACGATCAACGACATCGAGCGCAAGGCCATGTCCGAGTTCTTCAACAGTCGCAACCGCAGTAAAACACCAGCTGTCTATAAGGACTACCGTGATTTCATGATCAACACCTACAGGTTGAATCCCGTGGAATACCTTACTGTCACGGCCTGCAGACGAAACTTGGCTGGAGATGTTTGCGCTATCATGCGCGTCCACTCATTCCTCGAGCAGTGGGGTTTGATTAACTACCAGGTAGGATCAAAATCGATGCGCTGTCTTGTATGGTGAACTGACTGAAGCGATGTAGGTTGATGCAGAGCAACGGCCCTCGCATGTCGGCCCCCCCTTCACTGGTCACTTCAAGATCATTTGCGACACCCCACGCGGTCTACAGCCGTGGCAGCCGTCTGCCGACGCCGTCGTCTCTGCTGGCAAGCCCAGTGCCGATACAGAAAAGAAGGCTGCGGCAACACCGGTCGCTAAGAGCGAGCTTAACTTGGAAGTCAGCCGCAACATCTACGAAGCAAGCGCTAAGGGTACAAAACTCAACAAGAGCGAACCAAAGACCAATGGCGAAACGCCAGTGACGAACGGAGTTTCGGGTATCGAAGATGCCACCAAGACACCAATTGTCAAGGTCAACTGTCACACTTGCGGTATCGACTGCACCAGGCTATACTACCACAGCTCTCAGGCCGACCCGAATTCCAAGACCAAGTACGACGTTTGCCCAAGCTGCTTCCTCGAGGGTCATCTTCCAGGCAACCAGACAAGCGCTCAATTCACCCGCATGGAAAACCCTACATACACGACCGTCCTTGACAGAGACGCACCGTGGAGCGATGCCGAAATCCTTCGGTTGCTTGAGGGCATCGAGAGGATGGACGACGACTGGAATGAAATTGCGGATCACGTGGGTACGCGAACACGCGAAGAGTGCGTCTTGCAATTCTTGTCCTTGGACATTGAGGGCAAGTATGCGGACTCGGACCTTGCCGTGAATGCACCAACCGGCCTTGCAATGCTTGGACAGCAGGGCGGCCATTTGCCTTTCAGTCAGGCGGATAACCCGGTCATGTCCGTCGTCGGCTTCCTTGCCGGCCTCGTAGACTCTGCTAGTACGGCGGCTGCGGCGAACAAATCTGCCGAAGAGCTCACGCGTAAGCTTCGCAAGCGACTTGAGGGTGGCAACTCAGAGGAGCAAGCTGTGACCAATGGCAAGGGCAAGGACAAGGACGGTGACTCAATGGAGATTGATATCCGCCAAGACGTCACTACGACAACTACTACGACGACGACGACGCTGGCCACCATTCCTATGGCCACCATGGGCGCCCGGGCCGCTGGCCTGGTGTCCCACGAGGAACGTGAGATGACAAGACTAGTGTCCGCTGCGGCCAACCTCACTCTGCAGAAGTTGGAGTTGAAGTTGAAGTACTTCAACGAGATGGAGGCCATCTTGCAGGCAGAGAGAAGAGAGCTCGAAAGAGGACGGCAACAGTTGTTCTTGGATCGCCTCGCGTTCAAGCGTCGCGTCCGCGAGGTGCAGGATGGACTCAAGGCGGCAGTCGAGACGGGTGGTGATCAAGGTCTTAAGCAAGCCCAGGATGCGATGTCTGACGGAGCCAACCTCACCTTCCAGGCGGCGCCTGGAGCAGGCGCTGTGCAGCCACTGAGCAGTGGAGGGCAGATTAAGAGCTTCGAAGCTTGATGCAGCTCATGGCACGGTGTCTCTTCCATGAAGAAGACATTTATGAGATCCATTGGGACAAATATTGCTCTGCGTGTGGGCGGAGAACGGGGTCCCTGTATTTTGCAAGGGGTTTGGTTTGGTGATGAACAGGGAACGGCACAAATAATTGTGGTGAATTGAAATAGTCTGGATGATTTTAGGCGTCGGAGGGATTCCTATGGCTGGACGACTTCTTGTCGTTTACGCAATTGTATTAGATACTTGCACTACCGGTTTTCTACCTGCTTTCCATCTTGCCAACATCGTGTGAAGTGTAGACCTTAAGGGAATTCATCATTTCTCTGAGGACGGCAGTGTGATTGCTCGAGCTATGTGGTTGCTAAATGAGTTACGAGCTCACATCATGGGCACAGGGCGCTGACACATGCTAATGTGTTGTTCTGTACCTGGTATTGATCTCATGGTGAAGCAGTGCTGGTAGTTTGATGGATGTGCTACGTCAGCTTAGTCTCACATGTTTGGAAAGAATCATGGTGCATAAGGTTGTCAGATCCAGCTGCATGGGTAAGCTCAAGTCAAGGTGATCTACTTTGTGGCCGTTGAGCAAGCCACTCCACTATTGCGCGTACGGCGCGGTAGTGGTGCTTAGGGACGCTGAGGTCAACCGCAATCTGTGAGATGAAGTGCCGTGTGACCGCGGCCCTGACCGTGGCCGTGACCTAGGCTGGTGTGGCATGCGTCCGGTCTGTGGGGCCGTGCTTCATGAACCGGCCGGTGAAGCAAAAAGGTAAAAGCAAAGAGAAAGCGCCTTGCCGCCAAGGTTTGAGAGCACCCTTTCTCGAGGCATTCTAGTATCTGACTGTCCCGCCTCAGGTAGCTGTCGAAATGCCAAGATGTCCGGGTAAACGGAAGGGGACATCGATCAGTTCGATCCTCCGATGGTCCAGTCCGGTATCGTCTGGGGCTCCCCTCCTATCCGGTAATATACATATGATATTCACCGGATCAGTCTTCGTCCTCAGCCAGTGGTGTAGAATCGAATTGGAGGTGTGTTCCGCACTGACGAATAGGGCGGTTGATATCATGATATGTCTCTTATCAGAGACGGAATGCGATGAGCACCGGTAGTCATTTGTATTCGACCGAGCATCCTAGGTAAATCCAGCCGAGAGCCTAGGCTCAGGAATGGCAGAGAGCCGACGATTCTCCGGCCTCGGAGACTATTTGTGAGGAGAACAGATTGAGGGGATTTCTCCAGATAGTAGAGATGGAGATCAACTGGAGTCTTCGTACGGATACTGGGGTAAGGATGTGCGCATACTCCGTATCCGTACAAGTTACAACTCATTACCTACTACGTATGTACCGTATCGTGCGTATCCACTGATGGGGGTCGGCACCATCGTACGTACCTACTACGTAGTACATACATAAAGAAGAAAAGTACGGGGTAAAAGCTGCGTGCATGGGGCTGGCTACCTAGCTTCTGGAGCTAACGTCTGCTCACCCCTGTTTTACCTCGGCTCAAAGTCCCGATCCACCGCTTCTACTCCAGATGACCAAGGTAGTGAAGACACCTTGCCGGCTGCACCGCGATGCGCCGAGGGGCAATGAGCCAGTGAGGGAATTTGGAGAACGAGTGCAAGATGGTGTCAATATGGAATCCGGTAAATTTTGCGCGCACGTATGGAGGGCCGAGACTCAATCGCAGACTGGCAGACTTGCCGTCTGGGTTCTGCGGTGCTGCAGCCGCCGGTATGCGGCCTGTAGCGCATGGCGCGCCGCGCGTGCCCTTTTCCCCAACTCAAGGTCCATCTCCGCCGCTCCGCCGGACGTTCGGGCATCGTGCTACAAAACCTCTAGAATGAGAACTGAGCAAAACGGAAGCCAGGGGAGAAAAGGGTCAGAGACCTGGTGTCTGAGAGGGTCAAGAATGAATTGTGCCTGATACCGTGCTCCGGACCACGGTCCCGTCCGGCTTGTCATAATAACATAGGGACATACCTACCCGGAGGACGCCAGATAGCGCAGCTCTTTCTTTCTCCCTTTCTTGCCTTTTCTCAACACCTCTTGCTTCATCTACCTCGCTCTTGATCAGTCCCTTGACATAGGTGGTCTTCCTCAGTACTTGTAGCTTTTCGCTCTTTTCTGGATCGCAAAGGGTACATGTATCCTCTCTGGTAGCCTGTACTACTTTGGTCCCTACGGCGCTGAACTACCTAGACTACACCGGCCCATCCTCCTACGGAGTACCAGCCGCCTTATCGACAAGACGCGATCCCACGCCATCACTCGCGGCCCTACCTACCTTAGGTATTCTGAGAACAGGACAGGCTCACTACCTCACCTCAGTGTCTTCGTCAACCTCACACAGCATCCATTCCCGTCACCTGGGGACGCTTCTGCTACCTGGCGCTTCTGCCACATTAGCAGCCCGAGGTATCGACAAACCAGCCCACCCCCACCGCCCCATCGTCGGAAGCACCTGGCTTACGGCGGCTTCGAGAGAGAACCTGACACCCCATACCCCAGCTGTTCCCCATAGCCGGACCCCGTACCGAACCGCAGCAGCCTCCTCTTGGGGTACCTGACAGAGTACGGAGTACCTACCTACAGACACACTGCTAGCCCAGAATCCGCACATCCCTGTTGTGGTCGACGTTGCTGCTGGTAATAAAGGGATTCCCGCGTGGCACCTACGTTTTGGCTTGTGACAAGCAGCCACTTCACTCCAAGTCTCCCCTTCTGTCTGAAGGTGTCTGTTGTATCCGTCAGTCTATCACCTTGTCACTCTGTCCTCGTCCCTCGCTCGCTCCGGCTAGCCCCCGCTCCGGCTCCAAAAGCCACTCGACTGAATCGCCTGCCCGTCTGCCGTCTGCCGCGGATCTTTCTGCGGCTACCTTTTTTCGTGCGTGCCACCACTGCGTCTGCACTGCAACTATTTTAACACCACCCAACCACTCACACACCACCACACGTTTAATCCTTTTCAAGAATTGGTCATGTCGGCCGCATTGCGAGCGTTGGAGGCTAGGTCTGCCACGGCAAGGACTTCTTTGAGACATCTGACCTTTAATCGTCCGGTACGTTTTGTTCGTTGACGCTGTTGCATCTTCCCTTCCGCTATCCTCTCTCTCTCTCTACTCTGCTCTGCTCTTTGGCCTCGGCTCAACGCCATCATCCTTGATCCCACCCCGCTCCGCTTCTTCGGCTCCATCCATTACTTTTGGGGAGCTTCTCTCTTCCGTCTCTCACATCCTCTCATACAAAACACATATCTTCTCTGCCTCATGCTCTGTCTCTCACACTCTCTAACCACGTCTCCTTTCTCTCCAGACCTTTGCAGCCATGGCTCCTGCAGCAAAGCGGAACAACAGTTCCCTCCCTTCAGGTAAATTGCGACTCCCCAACCGTTCTCGAGCCGTTTGCGCTCGCGCCTTCAATAACCGAGGATGCGCATCGCTCGGCGTATTGATCCGCGCCCGACTGACATGGTGAATTGCGTACAGGATATGTTGAGGACAAATCCAAGGGCGCCATGCTGAGATTCCAGGACTCTCTACCCCGTCTGCCTGTGCCGACTCTCGAAGAAACAGCCGCGCGCTACATCAAGACCCTCCACCCCCTTCTGTCCGAATCAGAGTTCGCCACCAGCAAAAAGGCCGTCGAGGAATTCGTCAAGCCCGGTGGTGTCGGCAGCAAGCTCCAGGAGAAGCTGCTCGCCCGGAGAGAGGATCCCGCGCACCGCAATTGGCTGTACGAGTGGTGGAACGATGCGGCATACCTCAGCTACAGAGACCCCGTCGTTCCCTACGTGAGCTATTTCTACTCTCATCGTGACGACCGCCGGAGAAGGAACCCTGCCAAGAGGGCCGCGGCCATCACCTCGGCTGTCCTCGAGTTCAAGAAGCAGGTTGACGAAGGCACACTCGAGCCCGAGTACATGAAGAGACTGCCTATCTGCATGGACAGCTACAAATGGATGTTCAACACCAGCCGTGTCGCCGCAAAACCCGCCGACTACCCCGCCAAGTTCTCCCACAAGGACCACAAGTACATCATTGCGATCCGCAAAAACCAAATCTTCAAGATTTTGCACGAGGTGGACGGCAAGCAGCTCAACGCCTCAGAGCTCGAGCAGCAATTCAACAAGGTATATGAGCTGGCCCAGAGAGTCCCTCCCGTGGGCGCTCTGACCAGTGAGAACCGTGACGTCTGGTCAGATGCACGCGAGATCCTTCTCAAGGCCAGTCCCAAGAACGCCGCCTCTCTGGAGGCCGTTGAGGCATCCTCCTTTGTCGTGTGCCTTGACGACGCTGCTCCCGTCACTCTCGAGGAGCGCGCGCATCAGTACTGGCACGGTGACGGCGCCAACCGTTGGTACGACAAGCCCCTCCAGTTCATTGTCAATGATAATGCTACGTCGGGATTCATGGGAGAGCACTCCATGATGGACGGAACCCCTACCCACCGTCTCAATGACTTCATCAACGACCTCATCTTCAACAACAAGCTTGACCTCTCTGACCCCTCAATCCGTTCCAACCTGCCCGAACCCCAGGTCGTCAAGTTCGAGATTACCAAGGAAGTACAGGCCGAGATCGACCGCGCCAGAAAAGATTTCCATGATGTCATTAGCCAACACGAGCTGGCCGTTCAGGCGTATCAGGGTTACGGCAAGGGACTCATCAAGAAGTTCAAGTGCTCGCCCGATGCCTACGTTCAGATGATCATCCAGTTGGCATACCACAAGATGTACGGCAAGAACCGGCCTACATACGAGTCGGCTGCCACCCGCCGCTTCCAGCAAGGCCGTACCGAAACATGTAGAACCGTGTCAGACGCCTCCGTCTCGTGGTGCAACGCCATGGCCGACCCCAACATCGAGGACAAGGCCAAGGTCGACCTCTTCCGCCAGGCCATTGACTCCCACCTCGAGTACATCACTGCCGCCTCAGACGGTAAGGGTGTCGACAGACACCTGTTCGGTCTGAAGAGGCTGCTCGAGCCCGGCCAGGAGTTGCCTGCCATCTACCAGGACCCGGCTTTCTCCTACTCCTCCTCGTGGTACCTGTCCTCATCACAGCTTAGCTCAGAGTACTTCAACGGATACGGATGGAGTCAGGTCATTGACGGCGGGTTCGGAATTGCCTACATGATCAACGAGAACAGGTGCGTGATTTGTGTGCTGTCGTCTGCTGCAGTGTAGCCTCCCCCAACAAACTAAGAAACAAGCTAATCTCTGCGTAGCATTAACTTCAACGTTGTGTCCAAGGGCTTGGGCAGCCAGCGCATGAGCTTCTTCCTCAACGAGGCCGCCGGCGAGATGCGCGACCTGCTCATCCCTACCATTAAGCCCGCCAAGGCTAAGCTGTAAACGGTGATAGAAATCCTTTGTAAGAGAGGGGATGAGAGAGGAGTTGTCGTTGGCGATATGGGCGAGAGAAGAGAAGTCGACCAATATCCCAAGGGTGCTCCGGCGCTCCGTCAGTTATGTGAGGGTGTGTATGTGTGTTCATATATGATTACATGTAGATGACCGGTCGTTCTTTGCACCGATACAGCAGAAGCGTCTCTGGCAACCTGATAGACGTGACCGGTGGTGTCGGCACCACCGCGATCATATTGAAGAATTTCCCCCTTCGCAGTCTTCTCATTCTGGGCCTATGTACACTGCACCTCCCCATTACTCGAGTGGTAGTACCAAGCACATCATTTCGACAGCTTTCTATTGCCTCTATTGAACATGCGGGTATGAAGGTTGCAGGGCAATGTGTAAATGTAACGTGACTGAAACAGGCAAATCGAAACCGCACAGTTCCAGATTGAAGCAGGCTATGTGAGGTGGGGAACAAAAGATGCCGCCGCCATGTTTACTCCTACAAATAGACCCAACTCTAGCTCTTCCCAGTCTAATCCCCCTTTCTTAGCTACAGCTGAAACTACTCATCTTAACCTGAGTGAGAGACAATCTCGTTGACGAGTTCGCCCTTGCTCTCATCATAGTAGGAGCAAATCTGCGATGGAAGCGGTACTTCCACATAGTCCTCGTCCTCTCCCGAGATAACGTTGAGGTTGATGCCTGAAGACTTGCTCGAGAAGATCCTGGTGTCTGTGCTCTCCTTGCTGAAGTAGACTTGAGCGCCGTCAATTGAGTCCATCAAGACAGCAGGCACAGCACCCATGACCTGCAATGCAAAGTTCTGGGACTTGATGACGTCCACAGTAGACACAAGAGACTCCACGATCAACGACAGACGAGTTGAGTTCTCAATGGTCACAGCATTTGCTTTGCCCTTCACAATGATGGTAGTGTTGCTGCACTTACTGATCAGGATGGAGTGCGAAATGGACGCCTCGATTTCAATGGGCTGAGGCTCCTTCTCAAAGTTTTCCTGCATATTATATGAAAGTTAGCCATCTGTGACATACCATTCAAACCATAATAATAGGGGGCTTTCATACGATAGTCCACTTGTTGCCCTCAAGCACCTTCTTTGGTGGTTTCTTGACGCGCATGCTCTCTGGCTTAGGCTTCTTGCCAGGAGCTGGGCTCTTGCCGCGTGCTGATGCCTCTCCATCAACTTTCGAGCTTGTACGAAGGGACGGGTTCTTGTGCGTCATTTCCGATCTGTCGACCTTGCGAAGACCCTTCGTCACAGCCTCGCCCTTGTTGAGTTCGGAGAACACGGCACCCAGTCCACCTTTGCCACCGGGGGTTTCTTCCTTGATATCCAGTACTGGGGGAGGTCCGGGAGGCGGGGGTGGAGGCGGAAGACCGCCGGCCGGGGGTGGCGGAGGAGGAGCAGCGGCAGAAGCTGCAGATGCGGACAACGATTTAGCAACCTCCTGAGCTGGCTGACCCTTCGGGTTCCAGGGGATGCCGCTAGCGAAGTTTTGCTTGACGTAGTCGGCAAGGTCACGGAAGACTTGGTAAAAGGCGTTCACCCATTCGGTTTGCTGCGCATCCCTATGGTATACCGCATTAGCCATGGGTCCTTCAATATCACATCGGATCATTGGCGCAGACACACTTATCCTTTTGCTCCTTCAACACCCTGTTACCAAAGAATTGGGCAGAACCCAACGAATCTTCGACATGTTTGTAAGGACGGTTGTCGACAGTGACCCAGGCGAGAACCATGATGCCCTCAGCAACAGCGCTCAGCTGGGTGAAAACTGGCGACCCTCGGTTGGACTCTTTGATATTGTTGACAGCTACAAGAGCTTCATTAATGGGCTTTAGGAGGTCCTGGTAGACAGCCATTTCGGCGCCATTCAAATCAGGCTTCTTGGCCTTCGTGGTGATGAGCAGGAAGTTGCGCTGGGCTTGGAAACCTTGCAGAACTTTGGCAGCCTACGGAGACCCTGGTCAACATCCAAATAACGAATGATTCGCGAGTGTATTTAAATGACTGACCTGGTCAGCAACAAGGCCTCCAAGTTGTTGACTGGTTTTGACATATTTCTCGACCGATGTGGCAATAAATTGATCGAACTCCTCAATGGACTCTGGAACTGGCTCCGGGGGAGCTTGGGGGGCGGCGGCGGCTTGCGGCGGCGGGGGAGGGGCGGGAGCATTGGAAGCAGCAGGCGGCGAGGCGACGGATTGATTGAGGGCAGGAACGGCTTGGGGAAGCTCGATGGTAGAGGTGGCGATATCTTCGAGCCTAGCCGTAGCAGCTTCGAGCCTTGTTTCGAGGTTAGCAACGAGTGCGCTGACAGTGGGCCCAGAATAGGAGCAACAGCAAGCTGAAGCCCGTCGATGTTGCCGTAGAGCTGGGTGCAGAGTAGTCCGGGCTGATGGGATTTCGGTCGACGTACCGCTTGATGAGGGTGGTGAGGTTATGCATGTTGTTCGTTGCCATGTTGGGCAAAGGAGGGGGAGCCGAAGCTTGGTGCAAGGAGAAGGTCGACAGGAGAGGTTATAGGACGGCGGCGATGGGCCGGGGGTAAGCACTGACGGACAGAGACGGTGTGACGAAGGGCGTCAGAGAACGGAGATCGGTAGCGGGAGACGCGGTGGACATGCAATAGCAAGAACAAAATCGACAATGACAGCGAGGGCAATAGCAGGGTGGGCTGTTGCAACGCGTAGTGAGCTCAATGCAACCGAAGCTTCGTGCAGGATGTCTGTCGAAACAGCTCAACACAGCAAAGCCACTATTGCAAGGTTGATTGGGGGAGAGCCAAAAGATTGGGCGTGAAGTTTCAGCTAGTGCGGAGCTGCTGGGATGGGCGAAATGCACCTGGCAAAGAGCAACGGGTCGGCTGTCGCTGAAGATGTTATAACTGAGCAGAGAGCTACGAGGTTGGCGGAAGAGGTGTTTTGAATGGGTATTATCGCAAGCATCCAATGTCATGCCAGATGGGGGGAACAGACGCGGCAGTACGTATCTTTGTTCTAGAGACACTGTACCTCTTAAGGAAGCTCAGGTACGGAGTACCTTACACCCAACTGATTGTGCTTGGGGTCCCAGGACAAGGTACCTCAGGTAAGGTAGCTCCACACGCTGGTTCAGAGCTGATGAACGGATGCCTTGCGCACTTTGGATGCCTTGAGTTCCTTGCCTAAGGCATTTCCTACCTCCATTCAGGCACCCGGTCCCAAGCCTATCCATCTATTTCTATCCGTAGGTCTGTCAAGCTTGGCTACCCAAGCTTGCGCAAGATATCTCACAGATCAACCTCTAATTTGGAAGAAATCTCACCCCATTGACCAAGCTTAGGTGTCTGCTGAAACTTAAGATCAATCCTACATCTCCTGCGCATGGGATTACTCCCGTTCATCTGCTCAGTCTCGCTCATTCAGTGCAATCTGCACTTGCATACCATGAGATGACGGTGGTCAGCATGCTAGGCAACTCTGAAAAGGCCGTTTGATTCGGAATCAGCTTGCTCAGTAAACGAACTCCGGCTTACGTATACTCTGTAGGCTGTCGCCAGAGTCAACACTTTGTCCGTGAATACGTAACCAAGAAGCGGCTGTTGACGGCGATAGTCGAGCAAAGTCGTTCGGCAACAGAAAGTGTCACTTAAAATCACTAACAGCTTGCTCAGTACATCGTCACGCCAAGGCAGCATGTGTGGGCAGCTACACATGTATGGCTCACCTTGCCTCGCCTCAACCTCGGAAAGGTCTTGCAATAGACTTGGACCGACTAGCCAATTTCATAAAGAGCTCCTCTTGTCACCTTGTAACTTCTGTATGTGCCTGGTCACAACTTGCGACGCTATTTGGCTGTCAGTCACACCATGTGTGCCGAGACCGGAATCAGGGCCCATAATGGGCTGCCCCTCTTGGCTCAAGTGAGTTGAGTAAGGCAAGATAAGCTTCTGGAAGCTTTCTCCCTTTCTACCACAGGCACCTTGCCACGTGCCGGTCTAACGTGTGGTTATGTCTGCTGCCTTATCTGCAGGATTTCACATGAGATCATTTCAGGTACCAACCGCCCATAAGGTAGAAGACGGCGGTCTCTAGTGTATGGGTCGAAAATAGCATCTGCTTAGAGAGGGTGGGTAAATTAGAAGAGAAGATGGATGGCGCTGCTACTCAACTGTTTGTTGTTGATCTTGAGGCTCACTCGAGCTACAATTCCACAATTCGTTTTGCATCTCCAATTTCCTTGGCAGCCATAAATTCTTGCCTGTCTCTCAACCCAACCTTTATCGCCCGCAAAGTCTCATGAGGGAGGTGCCCTCTCACCGCACCTCACCTCCCCGAAAAACATATCGGCCCGTCAGAGCCACCTCGCTTCGTCCGTGCTTGCATTGTGCATTCTCGCCGATACTGATGCGACCAATAACCCATAGCACACAGCAAAGTGGGTGTAACCTAGTTTCAAAAAGCCCTTCACTTCCCAAAATCACACTCAGATTCACCTGTCCTACTACGGCATTTCGGCTGGTTGCAAAGATACTACTCAGTTGTCTAATTGTTACCTTCTCACAATAGTGGCCACTGTCACGGAGCACAGCATTTCCGCTAACGGAATATATCTCATTTGATACTCCGTACAGTCTGAATCTTTACGCCACTCATTGCGTATCTGACATTGATCCGTCATTGCAATAATCCTTTTCACTGGGAACCTTTGACCATGGCCGAAGAAGAGTCACAGTCGCCGAAGGAGCAGCGACTCACTGACGAAGAATTCAAGGCATTACCTGCCATTGACTTTGTGACATTAGGGATGTTCATCATAGGTGAGTTAGAAACCCCTCTCCACTGATGTCCCGTCTCTACGAGTTCAACATCAGCCCGCTGTGCACCCTCACTGCATGATTCCCAGCTGACAATTACTAGACGAGATACACTTCTTGCCACCTACGCCGTCCGTCTATGATATTCTCGGCGGTGCCGGCTCATACGGTGCCCTCGGAGCCCGTCTCTTCTCGCCGGCCCCGGATGCCTCATCGGTCGGTTGGATCGTCGACAAGGGTTCCGACTTTCCGCAATCCTTGACTGAACTCATCAACAGCTGGGAGACATCAGTCGTGTTCCGCGAGGACCCAGAGCGGCTAACCACTCGCGGATGGAACGGATACGAGAACGCAGAGAAGCGCGCCTTCAAGTACACCACCCCTAAGAAGCGTCTCACTGCAGAGGACCTGACGCCTCATCTGCTACTTTCCAAGACCTTTCACTTAATCTGCTCTCCGGCCAGGTGCAGAGACTTGGTAACCGAAATCACCTCAGCCCGCAAACGCGTGTGCCCGCCCGATTCGTACATAAAACCAATATTCATCTGGGAACCCGTACCTGACCTGTGCACACCGGATGAACTTCTCAACTGTACAAATTGCCTTCCCCTAATTGACATCCTCAGTCCAAATCACTCGGAGCTGGCGGGTTTCATGGGTGACGACGGCTTGGACCCAAAAACAGGAGAGATTTCGAAAGCGGCGGTAGAGAGATCCTGCGAGCAACTTCTCGCAAGCATGCCTTTATCGTCTTTCACGCTCGTTGTCCGCGCCGGGGAAAAGGGCTGCTACGTTGCTCGCAACGGCGGCCGCAAACGCCATCCCGCTACTGGCGACGGGGCAGGCTCAAAGCGTCGCAAGAAGGATTATACGAGGGGCGGCCTTCAGCCGGACACCGACATGGAAGCACTCTTCGCCGGTCTACTTCAAGATGACGAAGGTGCTGTTATTCGCGAGGAGATCGAGGTAGATTCTGGTACCGAACAGTGGATCCCGGCCGTTCATCAAGACAGCGCGAGAGTGGTAGATCCAACAGGTGGCGGCAATACCTTTCTGGGCGGGCTCGCCGTTGCTCTTGCAAGGGGTAAGTGCGTCGAGGAAGCTGCAGTATGGGGCAGTGTAGCTGCCAGCTTCGCTATTGAGCAAGTTGGCGTACCAATCTTAGCCAGAAATGAGGACGGCGAGGAGACATGGAACGGCGAGAGGGTAGAGGACCGGGTTGCGGAGTTCCGAGCCCGTCTCCAAACAACGCAGTAAAGTTCACGGAAAATGCTACATCTGTGGTGATAAACATAGAACCAGGTAGACGGATAATGACAAAAGATTTACGTCAAGTGCGACTCGTTAGATCTGACACCTTACAGACCACTGCGCAAGAACTACGACAGATGGATTTTCCATTCGTTACATGGCAAGGTCTCTTAGGGACGACGCCTTCCCGTCATAACACCAACGCCAGATGTCATATCACAAACAATCCCACATCATGCCACCGGACCTTAAATCTTGTAGACAAGCTCTCCATCGGTGTACCTATTTCTCGGTTAGTCATGTAAGAACAGAAGACGAGAAATCAGGTGGGGGAACTTACATAATCTGGTTGGCTTCATCCATTTTCTTAAGAGCTTTGACGGCCTCCTCCTTGCTGAAGGCACTACCGCTACGTGACTGCAACTTAGTGTTCACGGCTTCAAGAACAGCATTGACATTGGCAGAGTCGTCGTCGAACAGGGCCGAGTTGAGTAGCTGGCCAAGGGCGCTTCTGAAGACAGTCAGCCGCTGGGGACTGATGGGCTCGTCAACAATGGCGAGGCCAGCTGCTCCCGATGCCAGCTCGTCGTCATCCTCGCCAGTGTCTTGCGATTGAGAAGGCAGCTGAGAAGCGGGCATGGATGAAGCAAACGATGTTTGCGTTTGGGGTGCCGCACTTGAAGGGGCCGTGCCATCACCGCGGCGACGGGATCTCCGTGGCGTCGCCTCGTAGATATCCTCTCCTGCGTCTTCCACTACATCAGGCTCAGCAGGGGTATCCGCGTCGCTTTCAGGGGCATCTTCGTTGGCGCTGCTGGCACCAGCAGTGGCTCGCCGAGGCCGGGCCACGCCTCGTGTCGATCGCGAGGATCTCGGGACGGGTGTCCGTGTTGTCGTCTTCTTGAAGTTTCCATCATCGCCATCATCATCGGATGAGCTTTCCTCGCTTGATGACGCAAACTCGGTAGTCTGGGTTTTCCTACGTTTCTTTCTCGACTCGTCCTCGACCACCTCCTTGAACAGAGCAAAACGGAGAATTGCTTCGGCCGCAAGGGCATCGCGCTCGTCTACTCGATTAGATAGTCGGGACTTGGCGTGGGCGGTTGCCAAACGAATCAGAGTTTCCAAAGTACGGACGGTCAGAGGACTGGTTCTGCGCTGGTTACCCTCCATTTCATCGTTTCTGAGGCCAACATAAATGTCAGAAATGCGATCCGATGCGGCCTGAGTCAAGACAGGCCGAATTCTGGTCTTGGCATATTGGATGTATTTCTTCATGAAAGGAATGCTGAGCACCTCAGGCTTTTTGTTCGCGCCGCGTCCAGTGGTAAGAGTGACACCAGCGTGTAGCATCGCATCGAACTTCTCGTACACATCGGTCGGGCGTTGGGTATCGGCTTGATTATTGATGGCA